CAGAAGAGAATACACATTTCCTTTTTGTACACCATAGAAATATCATTTACTTGCTGATTCTTGAGTTTGGGAAAACTTATCTAAGACATCTTCTGAAGACTCACAGTCTGCTGTTTCCCTTAGACACTCAATCTCACCGCCATCATCAGAGGCCGCAGTACCGCTGTCTCTCTGCATTCATCTTCTGATTGTTCTAACAACGGAAATGTCTTCCTCGGTCAATTTTCTTCTCTTTGCCATTATGCATGGAAAAAGGAAAATTCTGAATTCTCACCTGAGATGAATGAAAGCTAAAAGTAGAGTGAAAAGATGGTGCTTCCAGTATTCTTCTGCATCTTCTTGAAAGACGATGCAAGACCTTAGTCAATGCAATAAGAACATTAAAGGATGATGCAATAATGGCAATTATTTCACTACCATATCACCCACCTAGGGATTTCATCATTCTTCCATTTTCTTATTAGTTTAGTCTAGCTTAGCAGATCTGGGAACATATGATGAATAGTGCTGAAATGATATGCAGGATGACAAACAGCAAAATGTTTCAAAATGTACAAAAATTAAGATTCCATAATGTAAAGATTTATGAAAGGGTCCAAAGGATCCACATGATCATTGTAATATTCTATTTTTAAAAATAAGTATGCTTTTCTTTGCTCTTTGTAAGATCTCTAAAAAAGAAGAATAAAAGTCATGCAATATCAATCCTTACAGAGCTTAGAAAAGAAACTAAAAAATGTAAAGAGGGTCCAATGGACCCTGACAGGAAGATTAAGGTCTCCAATTCCAGTTGTAGCCCTACCTAAAAATGTTTCTGGCCCAAGGGAATTAAGGACTCAAGACCAGGAAGAGCTGCATTTATTTATTTTTACAAAAGTAGCACATAAAAAAAAACTTCAAATAGTACAATTTTTTAGAAAAAGTCTGGGCTGGCCCCGTGGCCTACTGGTTAAGTTTGTTCGGCACGCTCTGGCCCAGGTTCAGTTCTCGGGAGCAGATCTACACCACTCATCTGCAGCCATGCTGTGGCGGCGAGCCACATACAAAAAATAGAGGAAGACTGGCACAGATGTTAGCTCAAGGCAAATCTTCCTCAGCAATAAAGAAAGAAAGAAAGAAAGAAAAAGAAAAAATTTTGTTAAAGTCTGTCTTCTACCACTATCATAAAGAGAAAAACCACTTTTAAAGTTTGATATAACATTCAAGATAGAAACTATGCACATCCAAACCCATATATACACATAGACACACAGTTGGCTCTATTTACTTAAACACAAAGAAGATCACACTATACATATAACAACAGCCCGGAATTTTTATTCCTCCCCACTCAATAGACTATGGGCCTCCTTTCATGTTCATGTATAAAGATCTACCACACTCTGGTACTCCTGGGATAATGCATCCATTTATTTAACCATTTCCCTACTAACGAACATTGAAGCTGGCTCCTTTTTCTCCGTAACAGATGATGCAGCTATGACCGCCTCACTCCTAACAGCTCAGACACTGAAGAAGTCATCCTTTATCACCACAAGCCTTCGATTTAAAAGTAAGTAAAATAAACTAAAAGCGCTTTCCCAACTCAGGATCTTTGCACAAGCTGCTCCCTCTGCTGAGAACGTACTTGCCCCTGCTCTTTCGCTCATCGTTGGTCTCAGCTTAAATGACCCTTCCTCAGAGAGGAATTCTCTGAATGCACCACCATTACTCCAATCTAAACGAGACATTTTTTGCTCTCAGAATACTTGCTACTTTTCCATCCTAGTACACACTGCACTTTTTTAATGATACTAATGTTAACGTCTGTCAACTCCATTCAACTACACCCCACAGCAGGAGGGGCAGTACTGCTGAGACACTGTCTGTCATCAAGGGACCAGCCCATGCCTGCCTGTCAGACAGAGACCGCTGGCTTTATTGGCTCTGTTCTGGAGAAGACGAACTGCTCTACCACACAATCACATGCTCTAACATTTTCAACGGCAAAACAGACAATTTGTTTCAAATGATCATTTCCAATGCTGGCAGGACGTCGGCAAAGAGGCTGCTCCGGCCCTGCTGGCTCAGGCCCTGCTGGCGGAGGAACTGGGCCATACGCGTTACTGTGCAATTCCACTTCTAGGACTGTGGCTCACAAAATCATCTCGGACACACGCAAAGATTTAATGACAACAATGTTCTTCACTACCTATTTTATAACAGGAAAACTGCACACAACCTAAATAACCAAGCCTCTGTTGTTGAAAAACTAAACTGTCATGTTCACACAACAGAACACTTTGCAGCCATTAAAAGTGCTCAGATGAATGCTGAATTTGAGTCCTCCATGGAAATATAAGTAAATGGCATGACAACATATCCATGATACATACTTCAGTGAAAAAAGGTGGTTACTGTACATCATCATCCCATTTTTGTGAAACACATAGGTGCATGTATTTACTTGTATATGCACTGATATCCACCAAAATGGGTATGGTGATTATCTTCAATTGGTAAATTTACGAATCATTTGTTTTTCCTTTTCTTTTTGGATTTTTATAGTTCACATGCATTACTTGTAAAAAAATTTAAAGTTACCCTTTAAAATATCTCTCTTTACCCCCTATGACCCACCTACCAAGGGGCCTGGTAAATCCGGGGGCAGCTCAGTTAGAGGAAGGCCAGTGTTTCAATTATCACTTCAAAGAAAAAGTCTTATCCTAGTTAATGATTTTCGATTCTGGAGCAATGCTTAAGGCCAGCCAGTCTTTGAGCCCCTTCTGAAGGGCTCTGTCTCTACTCCAAACCATAAAGAACTAGAAAAGGGGCAAGGGGGCTCAGGCAGATAGGAATATTACTCCCAGCAAAGCTCCTCATAGACGTCCATGAGCCTAGGGGAGCCCAGGGGAGCGTGGCTCCTACAGTCTCTGGGCCTGAGCCAAACAGCGCTGTTCTAGTGAGCGATGGGGTAGGCTCAGGCTCAAGACATCAACACTTTCCCTTTGCAGCAATACTGAGTCTTTCCAAGGAGGATTCGAAGGGAGGAAAACTGCCTAGGAAGCACCGATAATTCCAAGGACCTGTGTGGTTCCCAAACCCTGACAGTGGGTACACTAAAAAAGAAAAAAAGGAAAAGCCAGACACTCCTGGGTCTTACCCTGGCCCTACTGTGTTAGAATTGTGTGGGTTTGACCAAGGAATTTTTTTTTAACTTCTCAAGTGACTCCAGAGCAGACAACCCACACGCCAGTGTTCACGATCGTTTAACAACTGCTGGCTGGAAGGAATCAAGAAATACCTTCTCCATCGGACTCCAATTAGACAAGCACGAAAGTCAGGCCAAAAAATGAAAAGCCGCCAAAATGACTCAGATTACACTACCTTCTGCTCTTTTCACAAACCCCACCACTGAACAGCTCATCTTTTTACCTTCACCATATCCTCCTAAGTTACAGTCCATTCTCTTCTACGGGGTCCTCAGTGGACCCAGGAAACAGATCACCTCTGTTAAAGTGTTTGGTTACACTGGAAGATGGAAATGCACTGTATCAAAAGCAAAACAGAACGCTCCTGTGCAGCCAGCCATGAAGCCACAGAGCACCATCCTGAGCTGGGTGACCCTGGACACACGGACCTCAGCAAGCACCCTATCAAAGGTCCACTCAGGTTCCTATCTATCATCATATATTTAGCTCAATGTTCTGTGCAAGATCTCCTTCTTCTTTGGGAACTTATTTCTTGGGGAGGAAAAGTCAGTCAAACACTTCCCAGGGATGTTTTCAGGTGGCATTTTGTGCTGTGATTAAACAGCACTGTGAAATCTTGATGTTTCTACTCGGGGAGTTTCTTCCGGCCTTTGGTGAGAAGACTGCCTTTCCAGAGATATTCATTATGCCTTGGCCCTTCAATGGCATGGAGTCACTGATTTTCTAAGACCCATATTCCCATCACAAAGTCACAAAGAGTTAAAATCATTTTCTTATTGTGATAGTTTTAAAACACAGCCCCCAAATTCTTTGACACTCCTCTCATCCAGAAGTGAGGTTCTCAATACTTGAATGTACCAAAAGCCACTGAACTGTACACTCAAAACGGTTAAAACTGTGAATTTATATTACGTGAACCTTGCCTCAATAAAAAAAAAGTGAGACTGTATCTCGTCCTTTTGAATGTGGGCTCTGTGCCTGCTTAATCCGTAGAATACGGCAGAAGCGACGTTGTGCTGATTTCTGGGCCCAAGCCTTAAGAAACTGGCAGCTGCTTCCATGTTCTGTCTTCTAGGACACTCACTCTCGGAACCCCACCACCACATGGTGAGGATGTACAGGCAGTCTGTGTGGAGGTTAACTAAGAGAGGAACTGAGGACCTCAGGCCCGGGCCCCTGCTTAGTTCCCAGGCAACGGCCAGCAGCACCTTACAGGCCATGTGAGAGAGCCATCTTGAAAGTGGGGTCTCCAGCCCCCGCAGAGCTGCCTCAGCCAAAGCTGCATGGAGCAGAGACAAGCTCCCCCTGCCAGGCCTGCCTAAACTGCAGATGTGTGAGCAACACAAATGCCTGCAGGTGTTTAAGCCACTAAGCTTTGTGCTGGTTTGTTACGCAGCAAGACAGAACTGGCACTTTGATACCATAAAGAGTGGCTAGTGAAAATGGCTTCAGAAAACTCTCCAGCCTGGTACCATAAACCACCGCAGATTCTGACAAGCACAATCTTTATCACTGAAGAATTCATCCATGCCTGTTCTTCACAACTCGAGTCACAAGCTTTCTAAGATGGTCACTCAAAACTATGCCACAGAGTTGAAAAAGAAAGCATCTGACATCCTTGCTAAGAAATTTTTTGAAAAGGGGGCAAAAGGCAAGAAACCTTTAGAGTACAAAATCTTATAAGCTATCAAATAAAAATTATGGACAGCTCTCAATGCATCTTCATAGAAAAAGAAGCTTGAGCCATGGTCTTCCGCGCCGCCCTCCTGCTCCACCCAAGTGTCAGGAGCCCACTCTGCCCCGCCTCACCTCCAGCCTCTCGGGCGGGGGCTCGCTCTGCAGGATCCTCAGGGCTTTTGCAGCAGCATCGTGTTTCGCAGCCTGTCTCGTCTTTCCTTTCCCATTAAATTGTTGTCCTCCCACAGAAAGTTCAACTTGATAAAGTAAAGGTGGTACTGGAAATGGGTAAAAGTACCTAAAAATGAAAGGGGGTTAGGAAAATCACAGTCTCACATTGATAAGGCACCCATACATTCTCTGACAAATTCCAGTATTTCCTTCATCACGGGTCCTAATCACATTAATGTTTGCTTGCCGGCAATGATTCCTCATCAGTATATCCAGAGATTTCATAAGTTTACACTGGATTAGAATTGTCACACAGTATGAGCAAATACTGTTTAGCAATTCAAACTTATTTGCACAAAATACACTGGCTGACAAATTACCTGAGTTCAATTTATAAAGCTAATCCATGTTGACAAAATCTGAAATGAATTAGGCTTTCGCTGAGACAAAAAACTTAACTTGCTCTACTTTCTCATATCTGAGATTCACACTTGTGTGTCTCCAGAAAAGGCTGGGAATTTTTAAACAGAAGCCGTTTAGAAAGGATCCTCACTTCTAGAAATCCCAACAGCCTATAGCATAGCAGACGCTATTTCTTCCATTTCAGAGTTTGGGTTTTTTTTCTTTTTTGTTGTTGTTGAGGAAGATTGGCCCTGAGCTAACATCTGTGTCAATCTTCCTCTATTTTATCTGGGTCGCTGCCACAGCACAGCCACTGACGAGTGGTGGAGGTCCATGCCTGGGAAGCGAACCTGGGCCACCGATATGGAGTATGCCGAACTTAACCACTAGGCCATGGGGCCGGCCCCTGAGAGTTTTTTTGTTTTTTTGGTTTTTTTTTTTTTTTGAGGAAGATTAGCCCTGAGCTAACATCCACCACCAATCCTCCTCTAATTAGCTGAGGAAGACTGGCCCTGAGCTAACATCTGTGCCCATCCTCCTCTACTTTATATGTGGGACGCCACCACAGCATGGCTTGATAAGTGGTGCGTAGGTCCATGCCCACAATCCGAACCAGCGAACCCTGGGCCACCGAAGCAGAGCACACGAATTTAACTGCTATGCCACCCGGCCAGCCCCTGAGAGTTTGTATTTTTAAAACTAGCTTTGGTCCTCCCCAAGTAGGGCAGAGAAATGAAGACTTCATTTTGATCATCAGTCTATCCACTGTCTTATGACTGTGAGCAGGAGGTTTTTTTTTTTTTTTTTTAGATTTTATTTTTCCTTTTTCTCCCCAAAGCCCCCCAGTACATAGTTGTATATTCTTCGTTGTGGGTCCTAGTTGTGGCATGTGGGACGCTGCCTCAGCGTGGTTTGATGAGCAGTGCCATGTCCGCGCCCAGGATTCGAACCAATGAAACACTAGCCGCCTGCAGCGGAGCGCGCGAACTTAACCACTCGGCCTCAGGGCCAGCCCCAAGCAGGAGGTTTTTAACACACAGCAGTTTCAGGTTTCAATTAATATTTTACTGCACCTGTGTATCAAGGCTACTTACAAAGCCCTTTAAGTTCAAAAGTCAGAAAGTACCCAATAACAATAATCAGGCAATCTCAGAATGCTGAGAATCCATGGTGCTGCAGGAATCATGCTCAAGTATCACTCAAAGCAGTCACAGGGGCGATCTTTAGCCAGACTGCGTGGGGACAGGAGCCACACTGCTAGTGAGGAATATGCTCAGGCCCTTTCCAACAACAGGAGTTAAAAGGGCGTTAATCACAGTTCCAAAGACAATTCAGACTGAAACCAACATCTGGCACGCCCAAAGACCAAATCACTTCACGCTGCACTATCTACAGATTTTATTATTCCACGTACAAGATCAGATATATTTTCACCTGTATTTAAAAGACACACACACAGGGGCCGGCCCAGTGGCGCAGCAGTTAAGTGTGCACGTTCCGCTTCTCAGCGGCCCAGGGTTCACTGGTTTGGATCCCAGGTGCGGACATGGCACCTCATGGCAAGCCACACTGTGGTAGGCATCCCACATATAAAGTAGAAGAAGATGGGCACGGATGCTAGCTCAGGGCCAGGCTTCCTCAGCAAAAAGAGGAGGACTGGCAGTAGTTAGCTCAGGGTTAATCTTCCTCAAAAAACCAAAAATAAAACACACACATACATACCTTGGGGGATAAGCACCTCCTCTCATGTTGTAGTTATAGGTGGACTGCATCCGAGAGTAAGGGTCAACAGGCTTATACATTGGTTTTTTTCCAAGTTTCATGCACAGTGCATTTAGCTCTACAGTAGGGGTTATGCTTTCTGCAACACAAAATCAACACAAAGAATTGTTTTTTTCTGACATGAGAATCACGGTCACTAAAATCAAAAAGAATAGCATGCTTTCTACTCATTGATTCATGACGCGTTTCAAGAAAGGGTCTAAGTACCTCACTGCTAGGCATCAGGTTAGGAAATCCAAGAATCTGCTATGATTTCGAGATATTAATATGCAGACAACAGCACAAAATATATTGTAAGGGCTATTAGAGGCGACAAGAAATTCACACAAGAAGTTATCAGTGAAAGCTATACATCCCAGTTGTCAGAAACAAGTTCCAACACATATCAAGTTCCATGATTAAAAACACCATGTGACTGTCTAAATTGTTTTACTGTTTGGGAATACTTAACCAATACAACTTTGGTTGTACTGACTTGCTGGGTTATTGGCTTATACTTAGAAGTATGTTTGTAAACACTACTTCATAGAACAATGCATTTATTAAGTACTAACTGGATGCAAAGCACTGTGCTAAGCTTGAGGGCCACCATTCTTGCCCCAGAGGAGTTCAAAGAACACAAAGGCCCTCAAGAACTCCACCAGGCTGTGGGCTCCAGGGACAGGGGCAGAGCCACTGAGGAGGCGGCAAGTAGGTGCTGTGTGGAGAAGTCAGACGAAACCTACAAAATATTCAGATATTTCCATTCTCGATGTTTACAGTGGGATTTGACCTGTGGTAATATTTGTTAGGAGAATGAGTTCTGTTTCCATATACAACAGGAGCAAGTATATCTCAGTTTATCTCAGAATTATCAACTTTAGAAAATACATACATTTTCCAATTTTTTCCCCTCAGTTCATCCAATTCATAAACCTTTAAAAATCATTTAAAAAGCAAACCAGCCCTGAAAGATTAGTGTCAGAGTACAATCACATTTAAAAACAACGCTTTCATAGCAAACACAGAACAACACTAGCAATGGCAAAGTTCAATTTAAGTGCACACAAAAACCCACTTTAAAACGCCTTTGTAGAATGTATGTAGGGGAAAATAAAAATGCCTTGATTCTGTACTATAACTGGTTTGACTAAATTTAGTGCATGAATCAAACTTATAAGAGCATCTTTGGGTTTGCAAAATCAGAGGGTCACATAAGTAACCAACCTCTCTTCCTAACATCAGAATTACATTTTTTACATAATTCATATAGTTGCATTTTAAGTATAACCTGAATTTCTTTTTGGTGAGGAAGATTCAGACTGAGCTAACATCCTTTGCCAGTCTGCCTCTTTTTTTTTTTTTTTTGCTTAAGGAAGATTAGCCCTGAATTAACATCTGTGCCAATCTTCCTCTATTTTTTATGCCAGATGCCTCTATAACGTAGCTGATGAGTGGAGTAGGTCCGTGCCTGGGGATCCAAACCTGCGAACCTGGGCGACCAAAGCAGAGTGCGCTGAACTTTAAAAACTCGGCCATGGGGCGGCCCCTAACCTGCATCATTTTATTTTATTTTTATTTTATTTATTTTTTGGAGGTAGATTAGCCCTGAGCTAACTGCTGCCAATCCTCCTCCTTTGCTGAGGAAGACTGGCCCTGAGCTAACATCCATGCCCATCTTCCTCTACTTTCTATGTGGGACGCCTCCCACAGTGTGGCTTGCCAAGCGGTGCCATGTCCGCACCCAGGATCCGAAACGGCAAACCCCGAGCCACCGAGAAGCAGAACATGTGAACTTAACTGCTGCGCCACCGGGCCAGCCCATGAATTATTTTAAAAGCAGCTGATTCATAAAATTTATCTGCAGTAGAGAATGAATTTCAAGAAAGAATACCACAAAGAAATCAAAAGCACAAGAAAGGTGTAACCAAGATCTTCCCGGATTCATTCCTGCACACAGAAGGCCTGGGGTGACTTCAGGTACTTGAGGGGTAACTGCTACAACAGCCAGTCCTCCTCTCAGCTGCCAGGTCAGTGGTTCCCAAGCTTTCAGCAGACACTCGGCTTTATTAGTGTTGTCCCAGCATGGGTCCCTTGTTTGAAGAGATATTATCTACTGATTTGTATTTAAGTTATCTTCTCATTCTTTTTAACGATCAGGGGACACTCTGACAATCAGCTTTCTGATCAACACATTATAATCAGTATCACCATACCGAGTTAAAGTGATTCTAGCTAAAGCCTACATTCTTGGCAATCTGTATATAATCTTATCAAGGAAAAAAAAACCTATTATCATTAAGCTTTCCTGAAATCTTAGAAATCGTTTGGTGACACGCCCCATCTCCCATGACCACTTCTCCAGATCAGTCAGGAGTCCAGGACTGTAGATTGGGTACCACTGCTTTAGAATAAGGTTAAGGACTATGAAAAGGTAAGCTTTTGCCACTGGTAGTGCAGAATCTGTGCTTTGAAAACCAACAAGTTAGTTAAGAAATAATTCATATACATATACTCAAAGGGTACCTCTAGACACACTTTTGAAAGGAACCTGTCTTGGCCCACGCATAATACCTGGATTCCTTCCTTCGCTACGAAAAGGGCGGACTATAGGTTTAGGAAATTTTGTTCCTTCCAAAGCTTTGGCAGCAGCTGTGTGCTGGGCTTTTTTAATACTAGTTCCTTCAGCTTTCCAGTGCTGATCTCCAAGTGTTAGCTGTACTGTAAACACCTACAAATGAAAATTGTGAGCTCTCAATTCATGAAACCTGATGTTGACTGTAATATGTCACTCGGACCTTGAACATTTTTTATGATCATGATTTAAAAGGCCAGGTTATTAAAAAGATCCCCCTTTCTGTTGTTTTTATAAACACAAAAAGAGATATATATCATTGATTAGCATTGTATACACTGCATGAAAAAACTATGCTTTGAAAGATGGGGGTAAGTACAGAGATTAAAAAATGTTTTCTTACACGTTAAAATATTAGATGCTGATTATTTAGAAGCCATCCAAAAAGAAATTGTCTTCAATTACTTCTCATGGAAGAAATTTAGCAAACTCAATTTAGACACACAGTAGTATCTCATACAAATTAAAGACAACATTTGTTTTGATGTTGTAAAGTGTTTTTGGACTCTTGTCTGAAAACACAACCCCATTAGGACAAAAACTTGAACAAGTCTGGGAATGTCAGGTTCTAAAATGTTGCCTTTTATTTTCCTAAGACTGCACTATTCAGATGTTGCCTCTACTTTCAGAAGAAAATCAGACCCAAGCAAAGATCTAAAAACGTTTCTGAACTCAATTCTAAAGAGGCATCCAAAACAGCTAATTTTGTCCTCAACAAATGCTAACGATGGCAAGACTATTTTCTCCTTTTTAAGTATAAAGGTAACCCAAGCACACGCTCCATTCTTAAAATTAGGTTATGTTAATCCTAGTAGTATTGAATTACTACTTTGTCAAAAAACTATGACCCATCATAGCACAGTTCTTTAACTCGGGTATGCATCTGAAGAATAACCTGGGAAGCCTGGGGAAATATACATGCCCAGGGATTTCGATGGAAAAGCAGGAGGGGAGATCCTTGCCATGGGTATTTTTAATAAGCTCCCAAAGTGATTCTGACTCACTACCTTTGTAGCTTTTATTTTTCTGATTTTCTTTATCACTGAATATCACTTCGTTTATTTATAAATAATTTACATGAGAAATGTTGGTTTGAGTATGTCAAGGTCATTTAACCTAGGTGCCAGAAGCAATGGGAGTGACTTCCCTTCACAGCTGATTTTTCTTGTAGGTCTTAACTTCAGGATTCCCTCAGTGCACAGCTTCCACTAAAGGGGAAAAATGAAAGAACGCTTCATCCCCTTGAAACATTAGGATTCTCCTGTATTTATGCTGCCGTTTACAAGGTTACTCATGTAAGCACCAATAGTCAACTCAAAACCCTGGCTGGCCTGAGAAGTCAAAAAGCAGAAGCCCGCAACACTGTGCGATCCCAGGGGCATTTCTGTGATCCTTTCATGGAAAGATACTGAAGGGGAAAATGCTAAAAAACAAAAAAAGAGTTAATTTCATGAACAGTCTTGCCTTTCTCCAGGACCTTCTCCATCCGGCATGTTACCACTCTGCTGTCTTCTGTGTGGAGGGTTGGTAGCAAGGTTAGAATTTTGGTTTTGATAGAATTAAAAGTACACCACACCTCTGACTTTTTAAATAGTCTATCAGTCATCTAGGAGGGAATAACTTTTCCTTTTTGAACAACTTGTAGGTAAAAAAAAAAAAAAAATGCAAAATGCGGTTATAGATTGAACATATAGCCAAATTACCTAAAGCACTAAAGTTCAAGTGAGAAAGTACATGTTTTAAAAAATACCAAACACAGTTATAATAAAGGGAATCCCAAAGTTAAGGTCTGCAAAAAAAATCCTGTAGAAGAAACAGAACAGTTATAGAAAATGACTAATTGCCTTCCGAAAGTAAAGAAACATTTCAAATATAATTATGCTTTAGAATAATGTTAAAATTAGCTTCATATGAGTGGGAAACTTCTGGTTTTCTTAAACACATAATTGCTTAATAATAATAGCTACCATTTCTCAAGCATTTACTAAGTGCCAGGCATTGTGCTCCACACTTTAACACATAGTCTCTAATTCTCACAATAGACCTATTTGGTAGGTATTATTATACCCATTTTACAGATGAGGAAACTGAGGTTCAAAAAAAAATAGTAACTTGGCCAAGGTCGCACAGCTGGTAAGAAGCTAGGATTCAAACCCTGATCTGTCTGACTCCAAAGGCAACTCACCTAACCATGCTACCCTATGGCGCCTATTTACGACCCCAGCTGATGTTACTGTTAATCAAATGAAAAGAGAAACTTGGTATCATTCAAGGCTTGACTGAGGTTGGCATGTCAAGAAAAATGAGGCATAAAGAGACAACTCATCCTTAATTATATTATCTTACTGCAAGGCTAAGATCAGAAATAGGAGGCCCAATTCCTTATCTCTCATACTGTGTCCTCTCATATTACAGCTACAAAAGATAAAGCCAGATATGCAAACATTTAAGTTCCAAGATGTACA